ATAGAAGCAAGACTGTTGTATGCACAAGAATGGAAGGACGATTCCTAACATGGATAACTGGTTGCAGAATTTGATGGAGTGGGCTGAAATGGCAAAACTGACTACTTTGATTAAAGAAAAGAATATAAGTACTTTTATTTTCACATGGAGACCGCTTCTGAACTTTCTGCTTGAAGTGGAAAAAATTGATAGATTGATAGATCTTTATAGAAATAGCTTGCTCATATTATAATGAAAAAACAAAAAGTTGTGATTTGATGTTAATGTCGTATTTTACTGCAACAGAGAGACTTGGCAGTCAATGTTTCTTTTTCTTTTTTTCTTATGCTCCCTCACTTCTCTTTCCCCTTTTTCTTCCCACCGTTTCCTATTTACTTTCATATTTTGTATCTTATTTTATAACCCAACAAAAATGGTAAACATGAAGAAAACCATTTAGATCCTAGATAATCTCCAAAGTCTCTGAGTTATCTTTGTAGCCCTGTAATAAAGCATATTTCAGCAGAATATTTTTTTTCACATATCAAGCCTATATCAGCGTTTGCCAACTGGTTGGCCATGGCCCACTGGTGGCCCGTGAAAATTTTTTTGGTGGTCCGCAGAAAAATATCACCCCCAGAGCACTCCCCCAAAGCAATTAACCCAGGCTGCACGGGAACACAAGGTTGTGCCGCTCACATGGCCAGCCCGTGGGAACACAAGGCTTGCGTCAGAACAAGAAGAGGTAGTGAGGGGAGGGGGAAAAGAGTGGAGGGGGGGAAACTTGCCTGGCTACTGAGCTGTTTTTTCCCTGCTTCTTTCTTCTTCTAAGCAGGTTAGGAATGTGACTGCCTTGGAGGATGTGTGTTTGTGTGTGAGGGATCTCTATGTTAGATCAGATCTCTCTCTTCCCCTCCCAAACAGAGCTCAAAAGCAGGAATATGGCTGCCTTAAAGGGTGTGTGGAGGGGGGATTTCTGTGTTAGATGGGATCTGTTCCGAACTAGCAAGCTCGTAAGCCTGCAAACCTGACTGGCCGTTCCACAAGCAGGCTCGTAATCCTGCACATTTGATTGGTCCATTGACAGCGAGTCGTGATTGGTCATTCTGAACTGGTCTGATTGGCTAGTTAATGGGCTGCCGCTATTGGACGCTCCAAGCGCGGCAAACTTAAACCATTGGACGCTTTGACAGCAGCCAGCTCTATAAAAGGAGCTGCTGTTGCTATTCTCTTCGCTCTGTTCCTGAAGTCACAAATAAAGAGTTGGAGTCACTAATCGATGTCTCATCTCCGTTATTGCACCCACTCTCCGAGATAGAACACTGGCGACGAGGATGGGATGCGGAGACGATAAGAGCTGACTGAAACACTTGCAAAGTATTGGCAGAGCACGTGGCTGACAACGCGCAGAAAACGGCAGAATGACCAGCAGTGCAATACCACCCGCTCCGTTTGATCCAGCCAACGAAGATTGGGACTCGTATATGGACAGGTTCCAAATGTTCCTGGAAACCAATAATCTGAAGGATGCTACACCTGGAAAAAAACGTGCGGTGTTCCTAACGCATTGCGGACCCGCCATTTTCAAAATGGCAAAGGTGCTAGCAAAGACCGCTGAAGCCCAGACTATAGTCACGCACAGGGGTGCGTTCAAATGTAATAGACTCCAGTTCGGAGTAAGCGTAGCACCTGGCATTTTTCAAAGTTTGATGGAAAGGTTGCTACAGGGTATAAAAGGAGTTGTACCCTATTTCGATGATGTATTGATAGCTGTCCCTACACGAAGTCAATTAGAAAAACGCCTAAGAACTGTCCTACAAAAGTTCCAGGACGCAGGACTCAAAGTCAAGAAGGACAAGTGCCAATTATGCACTGAGAGGGTTGAATTTCTTGGTTACCTTCTTGACAAGCAAGGTATTCACCCTACCGAAAAGAAATTAGCAGCTATTAAAAACGCTCCAAGACCCAGAAACAAGACAGACCTCCAAGCCTTCCTGGGCCTCATTAACTTTTATAACATCTTCCTACCCCAGAAGGCGACTGTTGCTGAACCCCTGCATAGGCTCCTCGGCAAGAAGGCTTCCTGGTTTTGGGGACGTCGAGAGGAGCAAGCTTTCCAACAAGTCAAAGACCTTCTCACATCTGATGCAGTGTTAATCCAATATAACGAGACACTACCCTTGACTGTGACTTGTGACGCTTCACCTTTTGGAGTAGGAGCCATCCTGAGTCACGTTCTACCAAACGGTATGGAAGCGCCTATCGCATTCTTTTCAAGAACTTTGTCAAAAACTGAAAGGAACTATAGTCAATTAGATAAAGAAGCCCTTGCTATTGTATCCGCAATTAAAAGGTTCCACGAATACGTATATGGACGATCCTTTTCCATAATCACAGACCACAAGCCATTGCTTGGCATTCTAGCAGGGGATAAACCAACTCCCCACATCCTATCACCAGGAATGACACGATGGTCGGAGTTCTTAGCCGCGTACGACTACCAATTAAGACATCGACTGGGGAAAGCCATTCCCCATGCTGACGCCTTATGCCGTTCACCATTGCCAGAGTTCCTAGATGACCCAGCTCCTACACTTTCCACGCTACAAATAGAGATGCTCCCCTCACCTCCACTAACTGTGCAGGATATCGCGTAAGAAACAAAAAAAGACCCTTGTCTGGCGCGAGTCCTCAGCTGGGTGGAGAGGGGATGGCCAGAAATCGAACCCAACGACAAGTTCAAACCCTTCAAAAACAGACAGACAGAACTTTTCTCCCAAAAGGGGTGAGTGTTATGGGGAGACCAAGTAGCCATTCCAGAAAAACTTCAACGCCGAGTCCTGAAAGTGCTGCACGATGGACACCCGGGCATCGTACAAATGAAAGCACTGGCAAGGAGCTACGCATGGTGGCCAGGTATGGACAGACAAATCGAAGCCTGGGTTGCCACCTGTAGCAAATGCCAAGAAACACGCGCAGCTCCACCAAAAGCACCCCCAACGGAATGGGAAACACCCAGGGGTCCATGGTCCCGCATCCACATCGATTTTGCGGGACCTACAAAAGGACATACTTTTCTAATAACAGTAGACGCCTACTCGAACTGGCTCGAGGTGAACAAGATGAAGACCACCACCACAGAAGCGGTCATCAAAAAACTAAACAGACTGTTTGCAACACACGGATTTCCAGATGTCCTGGTCTCCGACAATGGCCCGCAGTTTACCACCTTGGCGTTTGAACAATACCTAGCGGACCGGGGGATACGTCACGCCCTGACATCACCAGCTCACCCGGCGGCCAATGGCAGGGCTGAACGAATGGTTCAGTTTACTAAAACAACCCTACACAAAATGGACCAAGGAAACATTCACGACAGAGTCACCAGAATGTTCCTTCTCCAACATATTACACTGAACAGCACCACAAACAAAAGCCCAGCCGAACTTCTGATGGGCAGAAAACTTAGATCACACCTGGACCGCCTACACCCTGCTTACACCCCAGAAAAGCCCCTGGGTTCCAGCAGCAAACATCGTACATTCAAGGTAGGAGACCTCGTATTCGCCAAGAATTTTACAGGTGACCCATTGTGGGTCCCTGCCAAGATAACACAAATTACGGGCCCCCGTTCCTACCGATTAGAAACCACAGATGGAAGATTGTGGAAACGCCATATCGACCAGCTGCGTTCAAGGCTGATAACTACCCCCTCTATGAACTCTGAAATCGGAACCAGAGGGGGAAGGGAAACCTAGGATTTTGAAAATGAAATAATACCTGCTCCAAGACACGCAAGCCCGCAGTTCGCACAACCAAGCCCAGCATACTCACCTGATGGAGAGGACCCGTGGCAGATGATCGCTTCCACAGGCAACAGCAGCCGAGCGGGGTCAGCAAATTCGGAGGACCCAGACGACAGGGACGAGGGTAACGTTGAAGGCATCCCCGAGTCACCTCCAAGGATACCCAGCATAGAAGCCAGGTCACCGTTAAACAACCCACCAGAACCAAAATCCGAGCTAAGGCAGGTTGAACAGCGCAAATCAGGTAGACAGGTGCGAAGACCTGCCTACCTGCGCGAATACATCACCCCACCCCTGAGACAGAACCTAGAGGGGAGGGGTGTTCCGAACTAGCAAGCTCGTAAGCCTGCAAACCTGACTGGCCGTTCCACAAGCAGGCTCGTAATCCTGCACATTTGATTGGTCCGTTGACAGCGAGTCGTGATTGGTCATTCTGGACTGGTCTGATTGGCTAGTTAACGGACTGCCGCGATTGGACGCTCCAAGCGCAGCAAACTTAAACCATTGGACGCTTTGACAACAGCCAGCTCTATAAAAGGAACTGCTGTTGCTATTCTCTTCGCTCTGTTCCTGAAGTCACAAATAAAGAGTTGGAGTCACTAATCGATGTCTCATCTCCGTTATTGCGCCCACTCTCCGAGATAGAACAGGATCTCTCTCTCCCCCTCCCGAATGGAGCTCAAAAGCAGGAATGTGGCTGCCTTGGAGGGAGTGGGATGTGTGAGGTATCTCTCTCTCTCTCTCTGTGTGTGTGTGTGTGTGAGAGAGAGAGAGAGAGAGAGAGAGAGAGAGAAAGAGAGAGAGGTTAGAACAGATCTCTCTCTCTCTCTTTCTCCCACCAACGTCAGCAAGCCACCGCCACTCAAAATTCATATTAGTAGTCTCCAGGATTTAAAATTATGAGTTTGGTGGTCCCTGAGGTCCAAAAGGTTGGCGACCCCTGGCCTATATCATGGTATATCTCAGCTTTGTGATGGATGGTATATGGTGGATTAGATTTTCACAAATTAGAACTAAGATTTTAGAATCACCCCTCTGTTCAATTGAATACTTTCCATTCAGTTATATATTCCTACAGGCAGCAAACAAACATGACTTAAATGAACTTGGAGTATTATCAACAGATTCTAGGCAACATAATATGGCCACAAACACATTCAAACAAAAGAATGGGAGGAGTTATTAACCTGATACACAGAGAACTTCAAGCATCACCTGTTTCCTTGTTTTCCAGATCGAAAATCAATAGCAAGAAGTATGAGATCCAGCTTCAGAAAGCACAGTCTTAAACGCAAAGAGATAAGTTCAGGTTTGAAAAAGGATAAACAAATACACAAAGAGGTGAGGTTGTGAATATTGTCCCATTATAAAAAAATAAACAAACTTTAATTTGGATTAAGTCTTATTTTTTTGTCTTTTTCAAGCATGATAGAAAACATCCAGGCAGAACTCTCTTATGACCACAATTCAGGCAAGGCATGAAATTGCAAAAAGCAGGACCTTTGTGGTGGGATTCAAAAACTTTTACCATCAGCTCGGGGCGTGGCTTGGTGGGCATGTTTGCATGCACACACACACTTTGCATGCATGCGCGTGTCAAACACGCACTTTGCAGAGGTGCAGAAGCATTCCAACTCACCTCCTGCAAGCCTGCACTCTCCCAGTTGCTTCAGCAGCTGCTGTGCGGCACCTGTGCTGTGCAAAGCAGCTGCGCTTCAAATTCAGAGGATAAAGGTGAGTATGGGAACTCAGGCGAGCGGGTGGGCCCAACAGCAGAGCAGTGGAGAGAACCAGTTTGGTCTCTGCTGCTCATCGCCACTAATGGCTCAGCAGAACTGGGCAGAACCAGTAGCATACCACTTGGATAGTTTTAGGTGTGTCCTATTGCCTAAGTTTCTCCTCTATTAGAATCAATACCAGAAGTGGTATTCAGCAAGTTCTGACCAGTTCTGGAGAACCGGTAGCAGAAATTTTGAGTAGACAACCAGCAAATACCACTTCTGACTGGCCCCACCCCCATCTATTCTCTGCCTCCTGAGTCCCAGCTGATTGGCTGGGTCTTCTTTGGTTGCCCTGCAAAGGAGAATGGAGCTGGAAAGCAGGTTACTGGGGTGGGGAGGGAATGGTATCCTTTCCCTGGAGTGGGGGGGGGAGTGGAGATTTTGCAGTATCCTTCCCCTGCCACACCCACCAAGTGATGCCCACCAAGTCATGCCATGCCCATCAAGCCATGCCCGCAGAACTGGCAGTAAAAAAAATTGAATCCCACCACTGATTCAATACCTATCTCTACAATAGTCTGAAACTTTGTATAGTAACCAATTAGAATCTGTATGGTGATCAGTTTCATCCTCTCTGGAGGAACTTTAAAGAGTTGCATTGTTTTACTGCCATGGCTGGTATGATACAAGATGAGTCTGAAGCAGAATCTTTAAGCATAATGGAGAGTCTGTGTCTTCTAGCTTAGAAGGTTACTGAAAGCATAACCAGCTGATCTTCCTTTGAGGACTTCTTTCCTCTCTTTTATAGTAAGGTCCAGACATTGGCAGTCATAAGCCTTGAAGAATCTTATCAGAAATATGCCTTTAACATGCCAATGAATGTTCAGATCTCAGGAACTTGGTATACTGAGATCAAATTAAGTAATTCTGGGAATCCAAAATATGCAATCTAGAATCTCACAATAAATATATTGTGGGATTTTCATATTCAAATTTAATCCCTCGATGCAGCAATAATTCTATTCTGTCCCTGTGTTGATTGGGATGTTGGAAAAAAACTTATGTCAAGAATTATTCTATCTGAGTAGCAACTTGTCTGGTATGTGGAAATCTGAAAATGTGTATGTGGCAAAGAAAATGGAATTTAAAGTGGAAAATTAAGAAAATGAATTAAGGGAGCAGGGGTAGTGGGGAATCTTACCGACAAGCGTCTTTGAAGGACATGCCAGCAAAATCATTGGAAAGAAGCTGAGTCATCACTTTATAGCCTTGGCCTTCAATTTCATGATGGCGCTTAATCCAAACATCCATACGCTATTAAAAAAAACAATTATTAACTGGATTCCCTGTGGCTGAGTTGTTATCTAAATTAGCCACCAACCACTCTAACAATCATTCATCCTATTAGTTCTTGAAATTAAAACTATCAAGTACTTAATAATCAAGATGTCCCAACAAAGCTCTATTGCTTCAATGAAGTTTAAACAAAAACAGACGTTTTAGTTCAAACACATAACTAACAAGCAGAATGATTATGAAAGGTGTAACAAGATTTTGGTAAAAGTAGGCAGCAATAAGTTGTTTTCTGTCCTACAGGCCTGTCTTCTTCATAAATATGAAAATAAAGATAAATTAACTGAATTCTAATAGTGAGGGTGAAGGTTTAGGGCAGTAGTGGCTAACCTTTTTGGACTCCCATGCCGAAAATTGCGTGCGAGCTCACGTGTGCGAGCTCACATGCCAGCACCCAGAAGGCAATGCATGTGGGGGCCCCATCCCCTGCACATGCGTGCATGACCCCTGAGTGCACCGTGCATCTCTGTGCATGCGTGTGTGTCTCCTGCGCCCCCCACGCATGCGCACCAGATACCCAACAATCAGCTGTCAAGCAGGTGGCATGCATCCATGCACAGTGGGGCTCTTCCAGGCAACCTCTCTTGTGCCAGCAGAAGTGGCTCTGCATGCCACTTCTGACATGTGTGCCATAGGTTCACCATCATGGGTTTAGGGGAACTCTGCTGAAGATGTTACCTAGCCTGGTAATGAAATGTTCGAAACCAACCGACAAGGTCAGAGAATGAACCTGTACCCTCATATACTACACCCAAACTACAGATACTCATCACTATTGCCCCCTTTATTAATAAAAAAAAATCACTTTGGAGTCCATCTGACTGTACCTTTTTCCAATTCCCCAGAAAAATAGATTGCTACTTTGATGAAATTTATTTGAGAGGTTGTTGTCATTTTATTCAGGCATTTACCAAATAAGCTACAGCTGGTCCAGAGTGCAGCAGTACAGGCAATTTTTTTTGGGGGGGGGGGGGAGAATGGCCCCTGTAACACCACTGCCCTACGAGCTGCATTGATTTTCAATCTGCTTCCAGGTGCAATTAAAGGTGTTGGTGATAATCTTTATCCATACCGATAAAGGGTCCTTGAGGGACTGTCTCACCCCACTGGGATTAGTCCATACCACTTGTGCCAGGAGAGGAGGCATGCTGCAGGTCCCATCATCCTGATTATTCCAGCTGGCAGGGTACAGGAGGAGAGCCTGCTATTGCTCTTGCCCTCTGGAACATCTTGACCCCCAATGTGAGGTTGGCCCCAACTCTCCCATCTTTTCATCAGGTCCTAAAGACCTAGCTCTGGGAATTGGCCTGGGGCCCCAATAGCAGAACAGCACAGTGGAGGTGGTTGATCGAGTAACAACAGGTCCCAGCTTCCTCCACTCCATCCCTGCCCTCCCCATGTGTCCTGATATCTGATTTTTGTTCAATCAAGTTTTTTTATTTCAATCTACACATACACAACAATATATAAACAGCGTGGCATCAATACATTATACATTTTAGTATAAAAAATTAATAATACCATTCATATCTCTTAATACACATATTCGCATTAAATCATAATCCTTCATTGCTTATTTTCAACATTTCAGTGCTCTCTCCTAGTGCCAGCCGTCATATCATTTAAACATGCCTAATAATTTCATTATTCAATTTCCTTTCCTGTTATGCCTCACCTGTATCCACAGGTGAGCAATCACAATTCTGAAATTCCAAAAATATAAGCAACCAAAAACAAACCCCAACCAAGATAACTG